AGTAAAGTCTCAATAATCGGTGGTCAGCCGTGATACATCTATGAACGAGAGGTTATAGGACGATATTGTTTCTTTTCATCATTATCCTCATATCGTGCCAAAGAAGTTAACTTTATAAGATCTCTCTGTTAAGTTTTCTTATCCGGTGGTCTTGTAGATGTGATTGTTTGGATGAGATGGTACCTCTATGCTTGAGGATGAAAAGGTAAGTTTTGATGATTATCTTGGTTTTGTGGTTATATGAGTATGTCTGAAGGTGAACCTTGATATCTATTGATATCATGCCATTTATTTCTAATATGTTATTCAGTTTAAATGATATGTTATGTGAAGATTTATTTTATGATTTGGTTATGACTTGTGAAAAGTGGTCATAAATGTATTGAGTTCGTATCTAGGATTATGAGTTGCTACATGGTTTGGCATGATGATAGTCTTATGATATAGTGTAGGGTTGAATACCTTAAAGAAGTGTATTAAATGGCTAGAAATATATGTTACCTTTATATAGGTTTAAGTGTTCAATGTTATCCTTGTATATTTGAAATGTTTCATTGATGTTTTTGTATATGTTAAATACTTCATAGTTGTCTTGTATGGATTGGAGTCTTTTGTATAGACTTGATCCTAGAAGGGAGGGTAGTGTTTTTAACTTGTAGGGTGATAATTTGGGTTGGAATGACCTAGATGTTAACTTACCTTGATTTTGAAAGAAAAAAAAAAGACCTCATGGCTACGTATCCTTTATTGCTTCCCCCTAAAGTTTTATGACCCTTTGTTTTAATGGTATAGTTGAGACATTATGTAGTTGAGTAGTATGACCTAACTTGACACTTATGAGATTTTTTTGGGTGTTAGGCCTAGAGGAATGATGATTGTTGGGTTAAGTTGCTCTTAAATGGGTTTACCTAAGTGGGGGATGGTGATGTGAGTAGAAACGTAATAGATATTTCTATCTTGTCCTTCTATTCTTGCTTGAGACAAAAGTTTTCCTAGAAACTAGTTCATGATAGGAGTCTTGCATAAAAATATGTGGTGCATGTTCTACCTATGTTTTGTATGTGTTATTCGATACTATGTTAAGCATGTTTTTTAAGATTTTAAATTGCATAAAAGAGGATTTTTTTATCAAATTCATGATTTCTCATGTTGATTTTGCATCTTGTTATGTTAGTTGTGCATTTAACTTCATGAGATAAGGTAAGAAACATGTTTGAAGTCACTGTTAATGTGTATTATTTGTCCTCGTAATGAAAATTTTCAGTCTCTTTGAAATGAATGATGAGTATCGTGAAAATTATGAAACTTTTATGGTTTGGAAAGCATGATTGTAGGATCACTCTTGCAAAGTGAAGGCATGTTGTGTTCCTAGAAATTGCAAGAATTTTTCTAAATGATGCATGTTTATAGAATCTATTGTCCTCCTAGAAATTTAAATATTGTAAAATGACTTCCTCTTTTTGTAATGTGTGTGGTGTGATTACAATTTTAACTTCACTAGGAAGGAAATAGGAGCATGCTTTGATTTAAAAGGTTGAAAATTTCTCATCAAAAATGAATTGACCTTTGTGCCTTCCTTGGGAGTGAACTCGTTAGACTTGTAAGTGTGTTGAGGAGTTCATCCCTTAACATTACTAACCATGGTAAGGTTGAGTATGACCCTCATGGCAGTATGCCTAACTAATACGATTCCATTGTTCGCTTACTTGACTCAAATATAAGTTGTTGAATCTTCCTAAGTGTAACTTGAACGTTATTGCATAATGATCTCTTAATAAATTGAAATTTAAATACAATTTTATGGTTAAGATAAGGATGTTCCTCCTATGAACATGACAAGAGCCTGTGTGTTTGATTCATTTAAGAATGAGTGAATAAAAGGTTTTGCATTCTTGGATTGCACTAAGTGCTAAATGGTTTGAAGTTATGTTCCTTATAACTTTGTTGCATTGACTTCTATGTGATCATAATATGAATGTTATGAGCTTCTCTATGATTCATTTAAGTCCTTGATGTTTTTAAAAATGTCCAAAATGTCATTCGAGGACGAATATCCCAAGTGGGGGATATTGTAAGATCCCCAAAATGAATTAAGGTGTCTAGAGACTCAATTGATCCTAATAATTTTTTTAATATGTTTATTGAGCGTTTTTAAATATGAATTATTCATTTAAAATCATTTGGAAGTCAAACAACCAAGATGTTCGAAATTTAGCCATTGAGACGTGCGTGTATGTCTTGGTGTGTCTTGACATGTGTTACGTGTTTTTTTTGCTGAATATTTTATAGAAGGTCCTTTACATGTTAATGTGTTTATTTAAGTTTGAAACGTCTTAGTACGACTTCCCAAGTTCAAGCAAAATGCCCTCAAGGAGGACCCCAAGCACTGCCTTGGCAATGTCAAACGCCGGTAAAGAATGACGCCTCGTAGGTGCACCTAAACCCTGTCAATGGGGAGGATTCATTCGAGACTTAGAATGGTTACAGATAAAGTTAATTGACAAGACTCATACCCAAATTATGGAAAACAGTATGGTCCATCGTTGAACCTATTGGCATCGACGGTGGCCGTCAATGCAGCATGTGTGAATTACCACGCGTACTATTTTATTAAAGGGGTGAATGGGAAATTCACACCTTGTAATAAAATGACCCAAGTTGGTTTATTTAGATATATATGGGTTTATTTAGTTGTTTATTAACATCAAATACCCATTCAAAAATTAATTTTTCAAGTTAGATTTTTCCTCACAAACCAAACTCTCTCTAGAAACCTCCATTGGAGATGAAGCTTAAGAACAGCTTGAAGATTTGATGGTGGTTCTTTATTCATCAAGTATTCATGTTTTTGTTATACAATAAGGTATAATGATCCTTCATCTTTAGATATCCATTTATCTAGATAGAGCTTTGAAAGCTTTAAAAGGAAAAATTGTGATCACATTGTCTATCTTCCAATATAGCCATTGGTTCCTTGTCAAAATGATATCAAAAGCTAATGTTAATGAATTTATGATTAGCTATTGATTTAATGTGATTTTTAGTTCAATTCCATGATGAACCCATGATCCCTCTCAATCACGATTTAGCCTATAATGTAGTATCTTGTGATCTTGATGCTAGAATGATTGGTATGACATTCAATTGTGATGAATTTACTTAGATAAAACATATAATGTAATGTCATTATGGTTTAGGTGTAATAAATGGAATGTGAATAGATGTTTGATGAATTGTTAAGGATTAATCTAGGTTCTTCAACACTCTATAGATTGATAATGTAATGTACATGATGTGATCTCAATTCTAGGTTAGACAAAGCATTATTTCTTTTAGGTTGTGATATATTTATCGACTGACATATATTTAGATTGTTGATTAATTTTGAGTATTGATCACTGATGATCAAATCATGGGAGAGTTGTAAGTGATCTATGTCTCTCTACTCTCTATTTGATTGGTGATGTATTGTACATGTTAGTATCATGATCTTTTTGTGGTTTATGCATGATTTCGTCCATGTTAAGATACATTTAGCTTCTACCCTATATTGGTAATATTGATTAATTATGAGTATTAATCAATGATGATCAAAGGTTGATGAATTTTTAAGATAGCTATATTCCTCTACTTTTCTATAGTAATGTGGATAGATTTGGCCTTGTATGGCAATATGTGGTATGGTTCACTTATGGGGGCGGTGTTTACTTTATTTTCATTATGAATGTGATTTGATCATGTCCTTGAATGAAATTGTATTTTTAATGTTTTGTGTGATAATCAACAAATATGAAGCTTATGCCTAGTTTTCATTCTAGTTGTGATCTACATTTTATTGCTTATGTAATATGTATGTGAATGAATTTGTTAGGGTTTGTTTAGGTTCTGTCATTGATGATCTACAAATTGTTAATGACCCCTTACCTATGTACCCCTATATGAATGTGTGATTAGATATGGTTAGGAGTCTGAATGCAAGTGTTGTAGTTATCTTGTCTCCTACGCTATTATGTGTTGTGTGTTCTATGCTTGGATGTTTGTGGTTCTAAGTGGGTTTTTTCCTCAATGGGTTATTGATAGCCATTATGTGATCATTTTGACCAATGTACACACACTCACACTTCATGTGTGCTTATGAGTAGTATATGTTCATGGTGTCTAATGATAAAGGTATTGTCATATGAACATGTGTCTACTACTATGCATGTATAGTGTGTGACTATAAAACATGTTATGTATTTCTTTACTAGGATGACTTCATAGGTGTTCTAGTATGGGCAAGGGTATGGGATTTTGTCTATGCATTGCACATGTGTGCCTTGATGGGATAGTTCCTAGGTTGATTGTATATGTACAAGAATATGAATGCATTATTAAGCTATGAACATGTCTTATGCATAAAGGAAATGAAGTATGAACATGTGTGGTCTAAGGGTGTTTATGTGAAAGGTTTTCTCACATATATGTATACAGACCCACATGAAAACATTTCCATTATGCATGTATGATGATCAAGTTAATAGAGGGACCTTGGAAGTTGTTCTCAAGTATACCCTAAACTAGATGGTGCTTTACATATGCTATGTCCATGTTAAAGGTTTTCTCAGTTGATTTAGCTTGATGAAATCTCATCTATGACCTATGAGATGCATTTTGGGAGCCAAATTCCTAAAGCCTATTTTTACAATTTAATGAATAAGAATGGCTTTCAATAAAGGGAACTTAGCTTAGCACCGAGTGAACTTGAAGATGAGGGGTGTTCCTTCCAATTGTAGAAAGGTTGGTTCACCATATTCCTCACGAGTTTCACACCCCAAGAGAACACTTTAGAAGATATGTCACTCTCAAAGTGCACCATGGCGTACTTGACCTCTCGGAGGTCTTGTTCAATCCCTTTGACATCATTCATTACATGCATGTATAAAAAAGTAGTGCAAAATTAAAACTTTTCACACGAAATATCTTAAAACATCTTTCCTATGAAAATCATAGCAAAATACTAAGTCTCAACATATGTCAATCTTAGACTCAAGAATACTTGGGACACGTCCCATACAATATGAACGTAGAAATACTTACTCTATTACAATACTTTCAATCAAAATAAATCTAAAGAAGATTATGACCTCTAGTCAAGTGAGGATATACTTCAACTTTTATTTAACAATAACTAGATTCCCATCGTTGCTTCAAGGCACCTTCTCACCTTCCACCTACACCTTTAGATATAACAAAATGTATGGAATTAATAAAAATACATGTACTAACTATGACTTAAAGAATGAAATGGACATTTATTAGAAATATGTTGTTTTTGATTAAAACTTCATAGTATAAGCATAAGAATCACATTTAAACAGCAAACAACACAATTACAAGACATTACAATATATACTTAATTTGCATGCATGTTACAGTAAGGTTACAGTGACTTAACTGTAAGTTCATCTAAAATTCATATATCACAATATAGCATCAAAGTATATACAAAGTACATAATATGAGATCCTCCTACCAAAGGTAATTCTAAGGTTCACATGAGTGAGTTATGAAGTGACCGCCCATACAATCCCTTCACACACACCTAAGAGATGCTTTAGACTACCTAGGATAAGATCATTCTAACTTCACATATTGCAATACATATGTATATTATATTCTCTTCCCAAAGGTTATCAAAACACTTAATTAAGTAATGCAAGAAGAGATCGCCCATACACCCTCTCCAAGCTTACCTAAATAGTTTCGAGCATGTCTTCTTACTCAAGTTGCGGTCCCTATTTAGAGTCATTCTTAAGACTTTCCTAGGTAATACGTAATGACCATTCATATGACCCATTCCACCTTAACTAAGCAACCCTTAACCTACTCCGGGTAAGTACTTATTCATTAAGATACTTTCCAACTTAAATCATTATCTTTATTAGTTCATTTAAGATATATTCAACACATAAGGACATTCAAGCAATGGTATTGGAGAAGACCTAGGGACTCACTCACTAACATCTTCAAACCTAATTGTGCAATGTCAAGATAATGTTCCATACCACCACCTAAACTTAATATCATTTCTGAAATACTAGTAGGTATCCCATATGATGAGAATAGGCAATAACCGACATAGACCATGGTAGCTAGGCATGGAATACAAAGTTATAACCTACTCATATGGAGGGTGTTCTACTTGCCAATGGTAAAACTTGGACATATCCGATGTAGGAACATGGTTAAGGAATATGAAAGGTTTCTTTGTTCTCCATTATCATATTTCAAATACACCAAATCCTCTAACCATTCTCACTCGGTGATAGAATTTGTTCTCATAGAGTAATTCATATAAAGGAGTACATGAAGATGTTCCATATCAAGTTCACAACCCAATCACATTACACCTTACCAAAAACGTCCCCTAGGGTTGCCTTACAAAGGTCAAGAGGATAGCTCAATTACTTTCCTAAGGATTATTTCATGTCATTCCATCCAATCAACATTAAGTCCACCATTTACACAAGAAGGATACCATACGACTTTCAACTTCAAGGTTATCTTAACCTTACATCTAGGATGAAGGTTCCTCATAAATGACCTTCTTATCAATGTTCAAGGTCACATACCAATCACTCATACAAGACTAAGACCCTTTAGCATACTTATTCAAGAAGTCATATTCACATTATTTATGTATAAATTAAGGTACACAAGTCTACCAAAACAAAACACACACATACTTCACATATAGCATATCATTCTAGAAGCACATAGACATAACCAGCAGCATCTATAAGTCACCCTATTTACTACTAAAATATCATCAATATAACAATTTTAAGACTCACATAAACAAGTAGGAATAAACCTGCATCAAGCCTAAGATTACACACATGAGTACATATCATAGTCTAACATGATCACCTAATGTCAATAAAAGAACACATACTTTCACATTACTCACAAGATGATAGATATGATCATACTTCACATAAATTACTACAAAAATCATCATAATATATCAATTAATTCCAACAAGGCCATGATCATCATAATTCATAAAGTATTGTCGACGACACCACATAATTCACAAGTAAAGCACATACCACCACCACCATAAGTGGACCATACCAATCACAACATAATTCAAGACTTAAAATACATAAAAATAAATAGAATTAGGTCAGCCTACCGCAAATCCATTCTCACCACTTCAATCAATAGCTAAATCATCCAACACAATACTCAAAGGCCCTTACCCATGGCAAAGATCACCAATTCAATTCAATACTTAAAATAGACAACGAACCAAAGGAAATTCAACATAGATTTATTAATTTGGGCAGCTTATTAACAATAAAAACATGATTCTATCAATATTCAATGGTTGTATTGAAACTACACAACAATTCATTAATTTTAAGACATAATCAATTCATCCACAAAGTACTCAAATCTAGGGTTCATGAATTACATGGGTTCATAGATTTTTTTAGTTAAAATCATCTAATTAACAACAATTCAATAAATATTCAATGATTACTTTAGTGCAATAACCCATGGATATATTACAAAATTGGACAAGTTCATCTTTGAAAGACTTTAGAAATCACTTTGAACATTCGATCCTTGAAGAAAAGAGATTCAAGGATGAAGGTCATATATTAATTGATGATATACCACGAATTTAATGAAGAATCACCAAACATATATTCATTCCAAGATCTATCTTGAGTTTTGTCTCAAATAGAGTTCTAGAGAATTTCTTAGACAATTTGAGTTTTGATTTAGAATAATCAATTCATCTAGGTGCTTACGACTTTCAAAGATACTTAAATTGCATATACTAGCCTTAGTAAACCTCCCAAACACTTATTTGGACGTGGGGTGAAATAACCACTTCATCCCTTCACTTTATTGTGAAGCTGTGAAATTGTAGACTATACCTATGCCTGCCCATCGACGCCTCGTAACCCAACCAATGGACCGTCCTTCTGGTCCGTAGTGTGGGCCACACGCTTGACAAAAGAGGAAAAGTCCACCATCCTAAATGTCACACTACGCCCTCCACCTACGGGGCATCGACTGCCTACTGGCGTCGATTGCAAACTGTAGGTGAGGCTGATTTTGACATCTTTTTGGCTACATGTTGGTTCCTTCCTCAAGGACCCTTGGGTGATCCATAGGGATATTTTCCCGCACATTTCAAACCCTAATATGTTTGTATACAATGTAAGGACATCTCACATCAGTTTCATAAAAAACGAACACGAAAACTCAATGAAACATACTAAGATACACAAGGTCGTTTCAAAGAAAACCTTTCGAACATCATGGACGTTCTTGGACATTTGACCTCCAAGATTCATGAAACTTTAACCACTGCCTCTTAAGATCATGTTAAATCATTTAAGTACTTTAAAATATGAAGACACAAGCGTTACGCTCTAGTTAAACCTAAGTCATTTTAGAGGTATTAAAACGAGGTTGTTAGCCTCATAGCCCAAAGGGCATAGAGTTATATTTCAATAAATGGATATCTACAATTCCTCAATATACATAAATATGGTTTCCGTTTATACCTCCAATATCCATAAACTATGCTTTCCAATAGGATTTAGTAAGTGATATCTCACCTAATATGCTAGCATGAGTTTATGTTCTACTTTGGCAAGGTAGAGCACCTTCCCTTGGTGTAAGGCTCTACAACACCGAATTCCATGTATCACCCGTGATCTTTGTGTCGGTTAAGTTTATATCTTTGCTAATGTAAAATGGACAATGGAATTAAAGTAGGACCATAACGAGGATAACCTAAGGGAAGTAACTTAGTGTAGTTAAGCGTATGGTACTTTACAAATGCATTGCACAAGTTTCTCTTGAAGGGAGTTCTAGGGAGGTATTCTTATGTATGTGTTTATGTTTATTTCCTCATGCATGACATAATAGTCTTGTCTACTTATCGTGATGAAATGCATGATATGAGTCATAATGATTCTACCTAATGTGCTCTTACCTTATATTCATAATATTGGTCTTAGTCACTATATGATGAAGGTATTACTTGGTTTATATGAAGATTCTATACTTGCCATGTTGATGTATGAAGTGAACTACAGTGCTTGTGGTCTTTTGTAGGTTTACTAAGTTTGTGTGAGGTTATGGGGCTTCACATGTACATTGCACTAGTAGACTTAGATTGGGATTGTGAGTAAGGTCTTATAATGGTGTATGTGAGGTGAAGTTTATATATGTGGATATTTACTAGGGCTTACTGTAATCTCATTAGGGTCTTAACTTAAATCTTTCTGTAATATACAATTATTTTATGAATGTATGTGTTGATTAAGAAAGTTATATGTATGACTACTTTATCGCCTTAAGGTGGTGCATTGAACCAATTATCACTAGATGGTTACTTGGGAAGTCAAGGAAATATTGAAAAATGGGCTTACTATAAAAGAGATATGCTTGCTGTGATTTGAACTAAGCTTACTCTAAAGTGGTTCCTAATATGACTTAAATACAAAGTATAATTTTATCTGACTTTATGACTACTGAATATGTCTATATGAAGTATTTGAATTGAATGATGCTTATTGAATTTTGTTTTATAATGTTTTCACAAAAAGGCATGATGCATGGTTTCAAGTAAAATGTCCCTTTTTAAATGCATGGTTATCATACTTAGTTCATTCTTGTACTAACTCCATTCTTCTTTTCCTTTACACACAAAGTGTGGGTTATGGATTCTTAAAGGATGTCTCTAAGGTTAAAATCTTTATATTTGATTTGCAAACTCAAGGAAAGGAATCCTTATGTCCAAGGATTTCCTAAGTCATGTCTTACTGTAATGTTTTGTTGTAGTTTAGTTATGTTTTATGTACAAGGTCTATGTCCCCAAAGTATTCTAATGATGTTTAGTCTAAGTTTGCAAAGAGATTTAGTATAACTATGTGAATATGATATTTTGTATATAATGTAAGTGATGTTTCTAGCATAGGATGTGCATGAAAAGTTCTAAATTTTCTGCTAAATCTACCTATGATAATGCGATGAATGATAACTATGGGATTGTATAAGAACTTCGTCAGGCAATGTACACCCTGTTACTTTTAGGGGTTGCTCCTTGGTCATTAAAAGGACATTTTACTTGATAATACCTTTCAATCTATTTTAGTAAAACCTTCAAGTTTACAAAGCATATTACAAGTCATCATTTCACATACAAGGTAATACTTACATAATCTTAACATTTAGACACGATTATTAAGAAATCAATTAATCCTTTAGACCTTTCTATCAAAAGTTATCCTTAGACTAACCTAGGCAAGACATTAAGCAACCGCCTATACAAACTCTTCAACACATACCTAAGTGATACTTAAAACTAACAAAGATAAGCATGTTTCATTTCAATCAAGAAGTCATCATCTAATACTAAAGAAACTAGATGAAACATACATGCATTTTGGAACTTCACATAAAAATTATCCTCCAAGATTGCACTCCTGGAATGTGAAAGTAGCATCCCATACTACTATTCCCACCTTAGTGCTCCTTAGGAATAACCCTAGATTACGTACGTAATATTCAATCATTTACAGAACTTTCATCACCTTAGACATAAGATCGGCATGCTTCAGTGAAATTATACATAAAGTCAACTTACTTCATTAACATCATATAGTAACTCATTCATACATTTTCGAATAAGAACACACAAAGAATCCCTCCAAATGTTGACTTGTGCAATGTATTGATGACGTCCCATTCCACCACCTTCCCTATGTAGTACACCTTTAAGATGACTTAGTTTATTACATTCATTTGTGGGGGGTAGCTTTACCGACATAGACCATGAAATCTAGACATAAAAATACCGGTATTAACCCTTAACATATGAGAGATCCCCACTTTCGTAAGGTAGAGTAATTCTTATTTAGCCATTACATAGATCTCAACTTGCTAAACCTATTGGGGCGCATAGTTAAGGGATAAGCATATTGTTTCTAACTAGCTCATGTCAGCTAACGAAGAGCACTCATCTCAAGAGGTACATTAGATACAACATCTCTCATCACGATGTCACACCTAGAATTTGCGCCATGGATGCGACCGCCGTCATTAACCTCTCAGAGGTGCAGATAAGGCTCTTCTTAGCTTTCATCACAATCATACAGTTAAATTTGCGAAATTATTTAAACTTTTAATATACTAATGAAGTATACTGAGACTTCATACTGAGGATTTATTAGAACATACTATATTCTAAAACTATCTCACCTATATAGAAATCATCAAAGAGTGCAAATCTAGACTTAGCCAATAATAGTCAACATGCTATATAGGCATTACTACAAAAGAATCCAAAGAACATAATGGAAATAGAGTGTTCTTAAAACTACTAAATATTTACATAAGATAAAATATGAAATATAGCAACCCCGAACACGAGGACCTACCAAGACTTTGAGAAAGAGTTCCAAGCTTCTTCAAATCGATATCCTTAAGCTTCAATCGATAGAACCTATAGTTGTAGTAATATAAAGTAATGGGATTACTACGCCACATGTACTAAGCATGGGTAAATGCATATAACACATAAGTATATGCATGAAAAAGAATCATTTATCATATGATTAGAAAACATGCTAAGACATATAAAAATCTTCAATGCTCATAACATATATCATATATAAGTTAAGGATTTCATTGACATAAAACATGATCATAATTAAAGACATATTATCATAGTCATGTTAACATTTAATATTCAATCAATCACATAACTCAACATGAAAAACACTTACCAATGACCCCATCCCAAAACTACAAGTGCAATGGTCATGTGAAGCACCATAACCCCACACAACCAAGTAGATCACACAGGAGACCATAACTTTGCTACATATAACTTGTAACATAATTAGTCATAACTTCATATAGCAATATAACCAAATAACATATTCATAGTAGAGATCAATATTCATGTAAGAGAAACATCATATATCATAAACATATACCTTTCATACCATCATATTACTTTAAAACGATCTCCTAGGACTTCCCTTAGAGTCAACCTGTGCAATGTCAAGGCAGCGTCCCATATCACTACCTATACAAAGAAAACTCCTCAAGTTACCCTAGTAAACGTTTATTTACTTGTATTTTATATTACATAAGGGAACATACACATTAACTGAGATAAATCATGTGAGCTAAACATGGAATGTATTGTCATCCCCACAGCGGAAAGAGGTGGTCTACCGGCCAAAGTAGAACCTAACATAACATAACTTTCTAGGTAGATCGACTAGTTAGTATCCTATGATGGCAACATAGTTCAAGAACTAGGAGATGTATTAGAGACCAACATTTTCACATTGCATAGAAGCCTCAATCTCCATAGAATCATTGTGAAACTATATTCCCCTAGGCAAGGGATACTTCCCATATCTAGTTCATCGGTGCTTAACTTAAATCCCTTTTCTTGAAATAACCATTAATTTTTATTTTATCAAAAACTTAGCATAGGTCATAGGAGATTATCTTCCTTTATAACATTATCATGAGCTCTTTTAGATTAGATGAAAATTGTCCTTTCATCATAACCTTTCTTTTATGAAATTCGAATAACATAATCACCTTGTGTAAAGCATACATGGGATATCATAAACTTGCATATTCGTGTTCTTATTATGATCTCACAATTAACATGTTCATAGACAACATATTCACATAGCAACATCATACATACTTTTCATAACAAAGCATCACAACTTATAGGCTAACATAAATATCTTAGAGTAATCACAATTCTAGAAGACTTACCTCTTGTTTCCAAGAACCTTATTCATCATGTGATATTCATAATAAAACTAAGTAAAATACTTAATGAAATAATTAAGATAAAATCATAAAATCATGTACAAGATAAATACATAGCATATGATATGGTAAACGGGTCATTAAACAGTTCAATCAAACCTTAAACTCTAACCCTAACATTTTCACGTTATCAAACACTACAAACAACCCATTAGAAATCATCACATAGAGAAAGATCATGTATCACACAACATTCAAAAATTTTCAGTCAATTACTCAACAATTCATGCGAAATTGAATATAGAAAATGTTTACTTTTCATTGAAAAACATAAATCTGGGGTTAGGAAGAAAAATTGTTTTGTAGAGTAAAACCCCTAGTATTCAAGGTTTTTGAAAAACTTATCTATAAAGGACCTATTTGGAAAAGGAATCGCAAGAGTGAAAAGCCCATAACTTATACATGAAGAATCCTCGAAAATCTGATTGGAAGCTTCAAAACCTTCATCTTCTTCCTTAAGCTTTTCTTGTTCTTCAATGGAATTTTGAAAAAAAAAGAGTTTCTTGAGTGAAAATGAAATTTCGTTTTGATCTGGTTTGGGACCTGTAAAAGTAAACTAAAAAAGACCTTATATCAATATATAAACTTCCCAAGAGTTACCCTAAAGACCCTCCATTTAAATTACCTAAAACGCCCCTCCTAAATATACTACAACTAGGAAAACATTTGACTAAGGGTCTCGGGTTTGACAAGGATTTTTAATTGATTAATTAAGTTTCTAATTTAACTAATTAAGTGATCTAGGGTAATTACTAAACTACCCCCTAAGTCGTTAGGACCATAACCAACCTATCTGGACCATCGTTGGATAGGAACTAGCATGTTTCTTTAGTTAGTTACTCGGCTAGTGTCACCCGCTTAGGTGTTAGGTTGCCAGATACACTAGTTAGTTTAATTTAGTTAATCCTTGGTTAGTTAGTTAGTTAGGTAAGTTAGTTATAGCCTAGGACTATTTAGGAAGCTAGGCCCCATGTGGCTTGGACCGCCGCACGCCTGCCCCCTAACCGCTCTAACCGAATTCAGCTGGGCTTGGTTCTTGTCTCTCAGCCAGCAACACATGTCTTGCACATGTGTTGTTGTGTCCTTCTTTTTTCCCAAGGATACTCACTATATCCTTTGGCACTGCTTAATCTACATGATCATATTAAAATGGTTATGTGTTACGGTACCTAGACTTGACACTATGATGCCTCGTACCTAATGTGTGCGAGCTATAAAGGAAAAAAATATCTTTAAGGTGTTCATTACAAGTACAATTCCTAAACAAGCTTGGATTGGGGCATTCAAAAAAAAGTGTATTCTCGTTTACCTATGTATACATCGAAATTGGCTAGCATCCTTAAACTAATATTCTCTAACATGCCCAATATTACTAATATTGGACAAGGGGATACATATGTATCTCTATACATATTCTTAAAACCTAATAGACTCTTCACTAGACAAGTACATTTTATGAGAACATCATTTTAAGCATTATTAAATAGATTAAGCTCTAGTCCAAGTCATGAAATTTCTGAAATGTTACATTATCCCCCCTTAGGAACATTCATCCTCGAAAGACACTAAAATCTTTTGGTGGGTAGGAATAAGACTCAATACTAGAAGCAAAACCATCACATGACATATCGTTACACTTAGCACTCAATTCATGATGCACAAACATATTAGAGTTACATATTCGTAACACATAGTGAGGAATTTCCTTCTCAACCTTATCATGATCTCAAAATGCATCAAAGAGTTACCATGCTATAAATCTTCTCAAGATAACATTAAAACAACAAAATCTCAAGAAAACATATGCGTACAAGTTTCACATAAGTGAGAGAATAGACTATGAAAAAATCTTATTAAAAATCTATTTGGTACTATCTTTTACAGAAACATGCACCTATTTGGTAAACAAGTTAAATTTTTCATTCTTTTTTAATTGGGCATGAAGTATTTATAAACCAATCTTTATTGGCTATGTCCATTCTTTTATTATTTTCGTAATATAGAGTTCTTGGGGCATATATTCGTACTCCAATATGGGGATAAACCAATAACTATTAAAACTTCATTCTTATGAAACACTGAGGATTTGACATTCTCATGCTTTGCTTAGTTCACATTGCACTTACATTTCTTCTTCTTTCTTTCTTACTTTCTTACTGAAATCTTGAGCATTATACATACTACTAAAATTTGAAATAGGGAGAACTAGGGAGATTGACATTTAACAATATCATTGGGCACAACCCTAGTTTCTGCTTTCTTGGATTCAGTACGTTTGAAAAAAAAACCTCTTTTATCCTCACCACATGGTATAAACAACCCTTGGCTATCATCTTACAAGCCTTAAAACACAAATTAATTTGACTCCTTCGCATGGAATTCTACCTCTTTCCATTTTAACATTGGTTCAATCAAAACATTTGGAAGTACATCAAACTTCCTATATACCAAAGGTGTAAAGAAATAAAGAGTAGCACCAAGGTCAAGCAAACCATAAACATTAACAAAGAAAACTTATAACATACATGTCACAACATCCGGAGAGATTTCTTGTTCACCCCTAGACTTAAGTGCAGAGAAACGGATCCTTTTTGGAGCTTCAGAATTAGGACAGCTTGGTTGTGCTTGGCTATTACCTTACCTTGACTTCTCACCTTAGGACAATCTTTCACCATATGGAAACTTTTGCCACAACCATAGTAACTATTAGTCCCAACAAGACATTCAACCACATGTTTCATACCACACTTACCACAACTTGGTCTCTCATTTAGTCGATCAACATTTCTCCCCTCTAAAGGTTTAGGATTAGAACCTCTATAATTGCGATTCTCACAGAAACTAGAAGAAACTGTACTTTTAAACCTTTTGTTAAACTTAGGCTTGTCTTGCACATCAAGCCTACTTTTAGAAGAACCACTTTCAAACGAATTTGCCCTATTAGATTCCCTATTACTCCTCCTTAGACGACTTTCCTCAACTTGTTGAGCATGAACCATTAACCTAGAAGGATCCATATTGTCGTGAAAAATGGCAGCACGACATTCCTCTTCAAGATCTTCAGACACGCCTGCTACAAGAAAGGGATTAGATGTTAAAAGACACAGTGTCAAAACTCTAAAGGCACCACATAGGAGTATCAAGAAAATAGAAGCTTCCTAATCATCACATAGCCTCTCATACACAATTGTGGCGCATAGATGTGGCGCGCTTCATAACCATGAAATAGACACTAGGTAACGTAGTTTAATGAGACATTGACCCTAAGAATATTTAACGTCATGCTCTGATAACAAGTTTGTCACACCTAGAATCTGCACCCCAGATGCCGGCGTCATTAACCTCTTAGTGGTCGCAAACAAGACTATTCTTAGCTTTCATAAAAATCATAAAATTAAATTTACGGAAATATTTAAAACATTTAAAATACTAATACAAAATACTTACACTTCATATTTAAGATTTATAAATATATATGATATTCTAAAATGGTCTCACATATGTAGAAACCATCAGTGAGTGCAAATCTGGACTTAGCCAATAATTGTCAATATGCCATATAGGCCTTAATACAAAAGAATCCAAAGAACATAATGGAAATAGCTTATTCTTAAAAACACTAAAAAATTGTGTAAGCTTGAATATGAAAGAT